GTCACAGACAGCATGATTTGCCTGTTTGTCTCTTTTTTGGTGTGTCTGTGACTCACCCGGAAGCAGCTCTTGCCTCACAGAAACTAGGTCCAGCTTGCTGTGTGTTGTGGCAGAGAGCATACCAGTTCACAGTGCAACTCAAATTAGACCCATCTGACCCTGCATTAGAATAGGGAAAACAGGGTCAAACATGAGCAATGCTACAACCTCACATGCCAAGTCATAACACGTGGTGCTGCTGTTGCAGGGTCAGCAAAGCTGTGAGATGAGCGCAAGCTAGGCTTGTTCTCTGGTCCCCCACCCCCTCTGTCTGCACAGAGCTGAAGTGTCAAAAGAGAAAAGTACTTACTGCTGCAAGTCAGTGCCCTTAGATATCACACGCAGGAGGGCATTTTAATATAAAAAAAATCAGGGAGCAGTCATAGGAAATATAACAACTGGTGGAGGGAAAGGAAAAGAGGGCAGCGTCCACAATATCCTTGGGTACAGTAGTGGTCTAATGGTATAAAACCCTGTCCACCTCAAAAAATGGACAGTTATATATGCGGGACTGGGCTCGATGACCTCTCGAGGTCCCTTCCAGTTCTAGTGTTCTATGTCCAGTGTCAGTCAGTTTCCTACCATCTCTGGTTTTAATGTAAGTTCTTGTCAGCTGTTTGATATTTATCTGGCACTGAAAGGCATCCTGGTTGTATCCCCTCTTGGGCAAATGTCTAGCTCCAGCAATGTCCACAAATCCATCCTTATTTTGATAGCTGGGCCCAAGATGGTTGCTTCTCCCCCGATTGCAATGATATCTAGGATCTCAGAGCAGCTCTAAGCAACTAAACAAGACATGTTATAATGAGTGTTAAAGTAATATTAAACAAATGAGCCAATCCTGTGACTTAGCCAGCTTTTAAACGGGAAAGGGACCATCTGGACAGCTTGGCACCAGAGCAATGGAGGGTACACAGGTAAACAGACAGCTGTCTCCATCTCCAATAACTATGAAGCAGCAGGGATAGATGCTGGAGAACTGCCAAAGTAGCATACAGCAGCAGCACATCCATATAAACAACAGACTGATCTAGCTCAATGCACACCAAATTTAGTTCTCCTTGAATGAGAACTCCAATGTACACAATAAATACAGAAAGAGCTCTTTGCTAGGCTATGTTTACACAGATATTAAACAACTAGACCAATTAAGTTAGTGTGCACTAAATCCCCATGTAGCACAAAGTTTAAACTAATTTGTAAAATTCTCTAACAGTTAATCAATAGATATTAGGGATGTGAACAACTAATCAACTATCTGAAAAGCAAATGCTTATGGGATAGTCGACAGGCTACTCGACTAGTCACTTCTGATAGAGGCAGCAAGGGGGGAGGAAGAGAAGGGAGTACTTTAAAGAGACAGTGCTGCGTGGAGCCCAGGATCAGCTGGAGACTCCCCTGCTGATCCCAGACTCTATGCGGCGCTGCCACTTTGAAATGCTGCAAGAAGCCTGACACCGGGCTCTCTGCAGTGTTTCACAGTGGCAGCGCTGCATGGAACCTGGGGTCAACAGGGGAATCCCCAGCTGATTCCGGGCTCCACAGGCCATTGCCACTTTGAAATGCCACAAGGAGCCTGACACCAGGCTCCCCATGGCATTTCAAAGCAGCAGTGCCACCTGGCACCAGGGGGGAGTACCCAGCTGACCCCAGACTCCATGCTGTTGCTACACTTCAAAGGCAAAAGCGCCCTATCGAGTAATCGAATAGTTGATGCAAAAATGCATTGACTATTCAATTAGTCAGTTACTCAATATTTAACATCCCTAGTAGATAAGTATTTTCTTGTAAACAAGACCTCTGTTTTACTACTAAAAAGTACCATTGGTAACACTAATTTCCAAAGAGCATTCACAGGAGATAGTTATGTATTTTATATGTAAGCTAGAAAAGCTAAATATAGTGCACAATTCTAGGGCTTTGTACTAAGTACCATATTATAGGCTGAGGCTCTTTCATCCAGGATTTAGCAACATCCATGGTCCAAGCAAGACCAAGAAGGCTGCTGGACCAGAGAGCGCCAGCCGCAGAGGTTGCCAACAGCTCGGTGGCAGATCAGGAGCCTGCAGGGAGCCCAGTGAGCAGTGCAGCCAGTGGATGTGAATGGAGCACCAGCAACAGAGCTCCGTCAGGAGCAGGGAGCCCTGGCCGGTAGCCAGGAGCAGATCCCCACAAGTGGGCCAGCACTAGAGCATCGCTGAGGGTAGAGAGCCCGGCTGGCAGCCAGGAACAGAGCACCACCAAGTGGCAATAAGCAGTCCACTGGGCTAGCTGGCAGAGTCAGATCCCCACCAGCACACCAGAAGCAGTGGAGCCTGGCAGGCAGGCTGGGGCAATGCGCTGGCCAGAGCTGGTGAGCCAGGAGGGGAGTTCCAGAGGCTTGACCTACTCTGGTCCTGCAAACTCACTTGCTCAGGACCACTCAGTTCCAGAGGTTATTGGGCCAGGAAGGTCAAACTTGAATCTACATTTGTACAAAGCAAATCAACTGTTAGCACTCAGTAAGTAAAATGTATTGCTTTTGCTGTTTTTACTCAAAGTTTTAGAATACACTGACACATAAAATGCACTAGAGTGGAAATTACAGAAACAGGCATAAATATGAAAACTGGGTAATTTATTGTGAAATATTCCACTATATGGATATTTCAGTCAGAGGCATTCATAAAGAACACCAATATATTAGTTCCAGTAAAAGATTGTTTTGTGTCACTTTTTCCCCCCCAATAACTTCTGTGAGATTTGGATAGGAGAATGCATTACAATGCAAAAGAACATATGCTCCTAAATGAGACTACAGGCTGAACCTCTCTAATCCAGAACTGTCTGGTCTGGAAACATCTATCGTCCAGAATTATTCCGATTAGCCAGATGTCCACTTTCTATGGGTGTGGCCAAGTTTCCTATGCTCCCATAGAGTTTGTTTACAGCCACCAGTCCTAGCTCTGTGTTCTGTACTGTTATTTAGCTCTAATTTACCCCTAAATGTCTTCTAACAGTCCAATAAGCAGTGGAAGTGTTGGTAATTCTGCTAGACAATGTAGAGGCACATCCAGCTGTAAGGTAGTAAAGTGACCTTTTCCCTACTAAGATATACAATATACTATTATTGCATCACTTAAGGAACTTGTATATTAATTACTACATGACTTGAGTCATACTTTACATTGCCCTTAATCCCAAAGGCATCAGAAAAGCAGGTCAAAGTTGGAAGAGAAGTTACATTTTTTGCAAATACTCTGCATAAATCAATATTAGGAAAGGTACCATGATACTTTGTGCAAGACACATGTGTTCCAAATCTCTCCAATAAACAACTCTTTGATTTACTTAAGAAAATATTTTTCTAAGTTTTATTTTATTCTTAAATGAGGGCAGGCAACACCTGCACTATCCTTCACGAAAGTCATTAAAACAGAATTTCAAAGTCCAAACACTTTTAAAAGTGAAATTTATCTTTCCCTGCACCAACGGATCACAGGCAGAGAAGTTACAAAGCGGAAAGAATTCCACCACAAAAAAAGAATACTCTATAGGCTGGACTAGAGACTACAACTTCTCCACACACCTTGCTCAGTTACCCAACTAAATCCAGCAGGTGAAGAAATACTGAGAGGAAGGTGACATGATCAAAGTGACAAGCAATGAAAATTATTTTAGCAGAAGCATTTGGATTAGATTCGAGGACAGCAAGGTTGCACAATCAAAGTGCAACAACTTAACAACTCGTCCAAGCAAACAAAAGAATTAACTACAAAAATCCTATCTTAGCCCAAACCCTTTAATTTGGAAGCAAAGGTTTGCCTTTTCACTTCAAATTGCTTTGGCATATTTTGTTGAATTAAAATAAATCTTAAGAAATACTATCCTTACTTGTCATTCTGACAAACTGACTACTTCCTACAACAGTAGTCATTGTTACTGTTGCTGTCGCTGTGCAACACATCATCATGAAGCAGTTTTCAGAACCTGCCTTATTGGAGCTGCATCAGTGTTTAATATCGTGACATGTTTATGACAGTTTGTATGAAAGACACTATCAAAATGAAAAAGTTATTACTCAAACATTGCTAAATTCTTACTTAAATCTGCTATTTACAGCTAGTACAGTGTATCTTTTTACAAACCATTTCATCTTCCAGAGAAGTGAGGAACCTTTTTTGGGTCAGGGCTACTGACCCACAGAAAAGTCAGTTGAGGGCCACACACAAGGGAGAAGCCAAAAAAAAAAACCCCAAGCAAACAAAACAAAAAAACCTCACTGACATAGCTCCCAAATGAGGCGAAAGACACTCCCCATATTCCCCTTGCACACTAGAGCCTGGGGGGGGGCCAGCCTAGTAGATTTTGTGCTTCCAGCCCCACCGTGGGGCAACAGGGGGTCAGGAGCAGCAGCAAGGGCTTCCCAATGCTGGGGGTGGCCCTGAGCTTCAGAGGACTGCAACTAGGCAAGTAGGGGGCCACATCAGGCTACTGGGCCTGAGGTTCCCCACCCCTGTTCTAGAGATCCACCATCCTGATTTATTTATGTTTGTGCAACACTCAGAAGTGTTGTGTGTGTTAAGTATGCACTAAGTATGCCTGTAATACATTGTCAATTAGTCAGTGACAGCAAAGAATAGGTTGTATTTAATTATAGATTGCTAACATATCACGCACCTCCCCCACTACTTCCTAACAGGAACAGCTTCATCACAAAACTCACTCTTCAGTTACACCAATTAGCTAACCCAATGACATAGGAAAACAAATATACCAAAATTCAGATGCTCCGCTGCCCTGAATTTCTTATTAATACAACATACTCTGCTATCACGACAGACGACATAGAACAGAGCTACATCACTCACAGCCCAATCTCCGTTCCATGCAACAAGACCCACTCTGGGTGAAGGATGAAGATAATTTGCCTTCACTCTCCAAGTTGGGTGGCTGTGAATTCTCTCTCCAGCAGCACTTACCAGGCTGAGGGAGAGTGAATGGCGAGGGAGAAAGCCAGCTCTGTCTCCCGAACAGAAGGGTTTTCTTGGCAAAACATTTCATACCTGTCATGGCAAATATCGTTGTTCTTTTAGCCATTTTAATTAATATGTGCAGTTGTGATCATCTCAATTTATACCAATCCCAGCTCTGTGCATGCAGTAAGGATAGATGGTTGTCAACCATCACAGTGCAGCAGCAAACAGTAAGGCAAACTCTCTTCCTCTCATCAGACTAATAGAAATATAAATTAATAAGGTATGTTTTGGGGAAACAAAGTAAAGTAATAGTGCACCATAAAGTAGTTCACGTACTGAAACTAGTAAAACAAAAATGTAATAGGTCATGAAATGTCATGGTAAAACCAACTTCATCAGATGAGTTGGGCTGTGTCTACATTGGCATGATTTTGCACAAAAGCATTCGCTTTTGTGCAAAAACTTGCTTCCTGTCTACATTGGCCGCGAGTTCTTGTGCAAGAACCCTGATGTTCTAATGTATGAAGTCAGTGTTTCTTGCGCAAGAACTATGATGCTCCCACTCAGGAATAAGCCGTCTTGTGCAACTGTTCTTACGCAAGAGGCCAGTGTAGACAGGCAACATGAATTTCTTGCGCAAGAAATCCCGATGGCTAAAATGGCCATCGGAGCTTTCTTGCGCAAGAGAGCATCTACACTGGCACAGATGCTCTTGCACAAAAGCACATCTCTTGTGCAAAGGCACATGACAGTGTAGACGCCCTCTTGCGCAAATACTTTGACGCAAGAACTCTTGCATTAAAGAGTATTTGTGCAAGATCATGCCAATGTAGACATAAACTTGGAGTTTAAATTACAGAATCCAGGGAGTATATAAAAGCAAAAGCAGTTACCTGTCAATTGTAGGATCCGTATTAATGGGCTGCATCTAGACTTGCCAGCTGTCTACACTGGCGGCTTGAATTTCCGCAAGAACACTGATGATCTCATGTAAGAAATCACTGCTTCTTGCGGAAATACTGTGCTGCGCCCGTTCGGGCAAAAGTCCTTTTGCACAAAAGCTTTTGCGCAAAAGGGCCAGTGTAGACAGCTCAGATTTGTTTTGCACAAAAAAGCCCCAATCGCGAAAATGGCGATCGGGGCTTTTTTGTGCAAACGCAAGTCTAAATTGGCACGGACGCTTTTCCGCAAAAAGTGCTTTTGCAGAAAAACGTCCATGCCGATCTAGATACTCTTTCCGCAAATGCTTTTAACAGAAAATTTTTCCGTTAAAAACATGTGCGGAAAATCATGCCAGTCTAGATGTAGCCAGAGAGTGTGAGGGGAGGGTTCCAGTGCCATCTTGCAGGGCTAGCCTCTGCCCCTGCTTGAAGGCCTCCTCAGTTACTTCACTCCCCTGCCTCTGCTCCTTCACCTCCCTCAGTCCCTGCTTCTGCACCTCCTCCAGTCTAAATCTCCCAGAGACTGCACCTCCTGGTGCCTCCACTTCTGCACATCCTCAGTTCCTGCACCTCACTGAGTCCCTGCATCCCCTGAACCTCTAATTCTGCACCTCACCATGCTGGTGCAGGGCAGTACTAGATTTATGCCAGAGCAAGAGACTGGAACAGCATAGAGGGGCCAGATTTTCACGCCTTCATACACACGCTGAACATTGTTTTAATACTCTGTGTACAAACTGGCTACGTCTACACTGGCATGATTTTCCGGAAATACTTTTAACAGAAAAGTTTTCTGTTAAAAGCATTTTCGGAAAAGCGCGTCTAGATTGGCCACGGACACTTTTCCGCATAAAGTGCTTTTGCGGAAAAGCGTCCTGCCAATCTAGACGCGCTTTTCCACAAAAAAGCCCCAATCGCCATTTTCGCGATCAGGGCTTTTTTGCGGAAAACAAATCTCTGCTGTCTACACTGGCCGCTTGAATTTCCACAAAAGCACTGACGATCTCATGTAAGATTGTCAGTGTTTTTGCGGAAATACCGTATTTTCCGGCGTATAAGACGACCCCCGATTTTGGGGGGATGTTTTTTAACATCAAAAGTCGTCTTATACGCCGGAAAATACGGTATTTCCGCAAAAACACTGACAATCTTACATGAGATCGTCAGTGCTTTTGTGGAAATTCAAGCGGCCAGTGTAGACAGCTGGCAAGTTTTTCCGCAAAATCATCTGCTTTTGTGGAAAAACTTGCCAGCTGTCTACACTGGCCGCTTGAATTTCCACAAAAGCACTGACGATCTCATGTAAGATTGTCAGTGTTTTTGCGGAAATACCGTATTTTCCGGCGTATAAGACGACCCCCGATTTTGGGGGGATGTTTTTTAACATCAAAAGTCGTCTTATACGCCGGAAAATACGGTATTTCCGCAAAAACACTGACAATCTTACATGAGATCGTCAGTGCTTTTGTGGAAATTCAAGCGGCCAGTGTAGACAGCTGGCAAGTTTTTCCGCAAAATCATCTGCTTTTGTGGAAAAACTTGCCAGCTGTCTACACTGGCCGCTTGAATTTCCACAAAAGCACTGACGATCTCATGTAAGATTGTCAGTGTTTTTGCGGAAATACCGTATTTTCCGGCGTATAAGACGACCCCCGATTTTGGGGGGATGTTTTTTAACATCAAAAGTCGTCTTATACGCCGGAAAATACGGTATTTCCGCAAAAACACTGACAATCTTACATGAGATCGTCAGTGCTTTTGTGGAAATTCAAGCGGCCAGTGTAGACAGCTGGCAAGTTTTTCCGCAAAATCATCTGCTTTTGTGGAAAAACTTGCCAGTCTAGACACAGCCACTATGTTTTGTTAGGTTTCATTTGAAAACTAACAGTTCACTGGCCAACATTATTATGAGCATATTACATTATATGAACATTAGCTGAAATTATGACTGTGTTTCCCAGACAAGGGAGAGGGTAAACCTGTTTCTCAACCGACAAGCTAAGGCCCCCAGCCATCATCAAAGCTGATTGGCAATCACCTATCAAGTGTTTCTTTTGCAAGGAATGAGGGCAGGAACAGGTGGAGCTGCATTTTAGCAAGAAACAACATGGAACCTCTTTCACCATGAAACTTGGTCTCCTTCCTGTGGGATGGAACTTTATCGAGGGCAGGGTTACTCAACTTTGGAAGCTCTGGGGGCCACAATGATACAGCACATGCTGAGGGCCACAAATTAAGTGTGGTTGCATATGCATTCAAATATATGCAAATAGCTTCTTTCACACTGATGGTCATGAATACAAAGATGAAGCCTTAAGCCGCAGTGCCAGATCCAAATGTGGCCAGTGTGAGCCAGTCAGCACGTCTCAGGCTCCGCTCATAAGGCTTAGCAGCCTGCACTTCCCACAATGCCCCGGCACTCCCAGCACCTCCTCCCTGGGGGCTAGAAACACCAACAGCCTGTACCCATCTGTTCCAACTAGCCTGTCCGCTTGCATCTTTCAGTTCTCACCCTGCCTGGGAGATGCCTCGCCTTTGTGGAGTGTGTTTCCAGTGGAGGCCATGTTCAAAGTATCCCACCTGTCTGCGAGTTGAGCCCTGTGTAAACCAAAACTGCACCACAGACCTCAAACAAATGGCCATGGGCCATGGGCTGAGTAGCCCTGA